CAGAGAGAGACATCTAAAGATTTTACAGCAACATTTGATATATTACCAATTCTGGCAGTCTTCTCAAGTTTATAGGGCTTGAAAATCCTACTTAGTTGGTAAGAGCAGCGAGGTGGAAGGGGGTTCCCATCCAAAGTGTCTAATTGCACTTCCAGGACGCCTTCCAAGGCTCCTGTTCCTTCACAATGGTCTGCCAGCCAAGTCTGAGAAATAATCCATCTAGCCCTTTTTAAAAAGTTATCATTTCTGTAACTGAAAGATAAATCATCTGTAAATAACCCCCCCACTGAAACATCCCATGGTGGCCAAAACCTTCTCTAACATGAAAGCTCCACCACACTCAAGGCTGCTTAAACAGCAGATACAGAAGACTCAAGCCGAAGCCTTTGCAGTGCCCTTTTCCCCTCTCTGCTCACTCTGTGAAGCAAGCTTGTTTACTTTTACCTGAGAGCTTGTTTCTGATCAGATGTGCTCTGTGAACATGCTCACCACCAGCCACACGAGATGTTTAAATATATTCTTTTCCTACATCTATGTATGGCAGTGTCATATTTCTCCTCTTTGGCTACTATTTAGATAGCCAAAAATGGTTTTGGCAACCATTTTAGCTAAAAAATACAAGAATATTAAATTATGTTACTAGAAATATGAATGCATGGCAATGCAATGAAAAATGGAAAAATGCATCAACAGAGATTCTACATTAAAATAAAACTGCAAATCCGAACGGGCCTACAAATGAGTTCTGCTTAAAAAAAGGTCTGTCAGCAGCTACCTTGTTTAAACAAATTAATAGCAGATTCCTACTACTGGATAACAGGAGGGATATTACTCTTGAAACAAGTAGAAGGCAAAAAAATGCTGTGATATATTTTGAGAATTAGTAAAATACAAACTCATGTTTTTAAACTATGCAGTGGAAAACTACTCTGTTGCTCACCTTTTCAGCTGTAAATACTATCTTTTCCCACTTCACTCTTAATTCTTTCCATATGTATCAATAACATTATATGCATGTGGTGAAACTCTTGATACTGGTGTGCTGTTCTGTTCTAACTCTTACAACACAGAATTATTTCAAGTCACTATTAATATGAGGTATGTCCTTTATATTTTCATATATCTTTCTGTTGAGTGAAAAAATTGATGTAGTGAAACCGCTAACAAGCTGAGCCTTTGAAACCATGGGCAGGTGATGAAAGCCACCTCATGTCTCAAGCATCCCCAGGTCACAGCTGTCACACTCGCTGCAATTCATTGCTGTCACAATCTGCTGTCCCTGCTTGTTGCTGCGCTCCTCTTATTCATCCAACTCATATATCTAAGCATTCCATTACAGAAAGACATCTAATGTTCGCCTCCTATTCGAGAGGGCACAACACCCTTCTGAAACACCGTTCTGAAGATTTTAGAGCACCAAATTCATTGCCAGATCTTACGTGTTGCTTTTTAAGGCTTGCTTATAATTTTATCTTTGTCTCATCTCCTGAGCATAGCAGGATCAGATGCTTGCTTAGTGCATGATCGCAGCTTTATTCCCACTTCTTATCATGAAGAAATGAAATATTGCCCAGCAATAGAAAGGCATTTGAACCTTTGGGAGTTTAAAGATAACAACACTAACTGTAAACTCAGTGAATTGGAAGGGAAGGTCAGCAAGTCATCCAGGGTAGCACTGTTCACAAAGTCAGCTCTTCTGGCCAGTGAAGCAGGATGTTTATAATCTGAAGACTTGGATTTTATGGGACTTAATTTTGTTCTCAGTTACTTAATTTAAATAGCATTACTATGGATTTACTTTTTAGGTCTTCCAACTTTCAAGCAGTGTTAAATTTGTAACAGAACATCTTGCACTCTAATTTAAAATGTGCACTGTCATTTTAGGTTATAACTATGAATTCAAAGATGACAGATTCATAGTCCTTTTAAAACAGAAATTTTTCTTGTGGAAAAAATTGGCACCAAGTGAAAATATTTAATGAAAATTAGAGTTAAAAGAATGAGCCAGAAGATAATGAAAACAAAACCAAAGAGCCTAAAAATGTAGGAGTAAAAGAAAAGAAGATATAATTATAGTAACAAATACTCTTGTGATTTTAACTGTACTATTTATCCATAGCTATAAAAATAGACAAAAAGACATCTGATATTCTCCCTTACATCTATTTGCTAAAATATTTTTCACTTATAGTGTTACTATCCATAATCTTTACATTGCCAGTAGAAGGTTCAAGTAATATGCTCATTAGAGAGTTTGCTTCTCTACCTCTCAATATAGTTATTTCAATAGACACAAAATTCTCAGCCTCTAACTGTTCCTCGTAAAGACAGGTAAAATGCCAGTGACATTACTCCCACAATCCTGGGAAGAAAATCTCCCAAAGAGTGACCTCATGCTTTTACGTTGCAGGAGCTTCTGATCATATTCATCTGCCACAGCCAAGAACAGAAGACATAAACCTAGACATATGTCATACCAGAAAGGGACTGAAGGAAAAACTAGGAAAATATATGCAATTCATTTACCTTATTACTGAATCAAAATTATTAGACAGTTTTGAAATCTTTACCTAGGTTAGAATGAAACTTCCTTTACAACAAGGTAAGCTAGAAGAATGTGCAGTTAAGGAACTCTGGGATATAAAAAAATGCTAAGTAAAACACTCTGTTTTAGTGCTGCCTATCATTAAAATATAGGAGACAGACATCATTGCAGCAGATGTTGTAGCTGATTAAAGGGACTGTTGGTTTTAAAGACAAGGTAGCCTCACCTCATATATTTGGATACCCCAGGTGATAATAAACAATATACATAGTTACATGGTGACAGTCTCCCTTCCCATACTTTTAACTGGTAGATAGATGTAGATGAGTTGGGAACACTTCTCAGTTAAGTGATTGTTTCTAGGGTCCAGCAAGGATACCATAATAGTAATAAGAATACTAATACTATAATAATAGCATTTAAGAGCATGCCAAGCCCGTGCCCTACAACTCTCTTTTCATTTTTCTTGAAATAAAGCCTTTCTTTTTTTTCTAATACAGCCTAGGAGATATTTATAGTCCAAATGTGCCTGATTTTGATAAGTGGACACAAAGATCAGGGGCCACAGTGGGGTGGGCTTGAAGTTCCAAATGCCAGTAAAGATTAAATGCTGTACTCTTACATACTTGTAGATATGTGTAAATAAATAGCTCGTAGATGATAAAAGACAGGGAAGATATTAGGAACAATAGTGAAAACTAAGTTTTGTTATGATAATAATTCATACTTCTCAAATATCAAGTGTGTGCTCAATCTCAATCTTTACTTTTACATACTTATGTAAAACAAGCGGTCACCGTTCCAATTAAGAAAATAAATTTAGAATGAAATACGGCACAACTTATGTTCCAGAGAACAACTTCAGTATCATATAACTCTTACTAAATATTGCTCAAGTAAAAATAGAAAATAAAAAGTATAGAAACCACCATGCTATCAGACAATCAGCTAACAGCAGAGTGTATATATAGACAGGATTTGAGCAAGATTTGAGGATGGACATTAGGGGTGGAATCTAGTCTAGTGCACACAGCAGCAATTCTCCTAAAACCAATGCTTTAATTCTCTATTTAGTCAAAGATATGAGAGGGGTGCTGCAAATGAAAAGTTGAGTGTAAAAATGAAAGTACCTTAATTAGGTCAATGGACCTCATGTTTTTATACTCATAGTGATACAGACATGTTGACTTCAGTTTGAATGGTTCTTTGTGATTTGGCCTTGCCCCGTTACCAGGAATGAAGACAAGATTATAAGTATATTCAACAACTCAGTACTAACTCAGATTTCTTCACTATGCCTATATCACCAGAACTGCAATAATTGTAGCTCTTGTTTTGAAAGACCAACAGATTTTATGTTTACACGCATTTTGCTGAAGGGATTGTCTCAAGGGGCAGAATTCCAGCGTAGCCCTGAAATATAAAAAAAAAACCTTGCCTTGACCTATCACAGAATCCAAGCATCTCTGGGAATCCTAATCCAGTGTTTGACCACCCTCTCAGTGAAAAAGTGTTTTCTTATGCTCGGAGAGAATTTCCTGTTTTCATTTATGCCCTTTGCATCTTGTGAATCATGCAAGAGCAAAGCTATTAATGGCAAGTTTAAGAGCAGATAACCAATAGGTTTGTGTACTTTCTATATCTCATTTATTAGAACTAAAAAAAAATAAAATAAGCCAAGAGGTAAAATGTATGAATAAATGTCAAATCTAATCATAAATATAACTATTCATATTAATACTACTAATAATTGTGATACGGGAGAAATGCATTTATAATGAAATACATCTTCTCCAGTCTTCAAAGAAGACTCCATGCCTCTGCTAAACACCTCTATTAGCAGATCTAACTGAGCCTGGAGAAAAAGGATGCTATTCTTATAGGCAGCACACAAAACCTAAGACAGGTAGCTATTTTTAGATGGACATTTCTTTACAGTGTTACAATTCTGGCCTGGTCTCTTCTGTGCAGCTTTACTCTATCTGTCCCAGGGCCCAGCAATTCAGCTTCCACCAAGGCAAAGCATCTATTTCTTCACTCTTTTTCAGACACCTTGCAGCATTTCAGTTCAAATGCTTAGGTTTACACATGGAAGGACAGACTTTAGATTGGTCTGTCTTAGTTTAACAAGGGAATAATTCCTTGAATAATTTCTTGAGAGACATGCAATTAGATGACCAGCTATGAATTATGAGAATTCAGCATCAAAGCTTTATATTCTAATGAAGAAGGCTTCAACTTGAGCACTGATATATTCTTAAGACAGGCAGGAAAAAGGAGAAGGTGATTCTAGCCATCAGTAACCTACTGTGTTCCCAGCACGACAATAGTTTGGTTTCTCATCCCTGTTGCATTCCTGTTGCTTTACAACTTACCTTATAACATTTCATAGACACTCACCACCTTTACAGCACTTATAACAGTAGCTAGTGTATATATATACGTACAAATTTACCTTAATAACAGATGTCTCCACACGGGATGGAGGACTCTGCACTTGTGCTGCTGCTGCCATGTTGGCAATGGTACTCAGGTGATTCATCTGGCTCATGGCCATCGTGACCGAGGCTGGAGGTAGGCTCACGGGAATTAGTGGGTGGGGCATCATCATAAAAGGAAGTTCCAGTCCTGGAATATTGAAAAAAAAAAAACAAAAAAGGATTTACTTTCTCCCCTTGTTGAACAACATTCAAGTGATGGGCAACAAGACAGTTCAGGATAAAGGATCTAGGTCGCAGCATCTTTCTGCAGAAATGCCCGGTGTTCATGGAGGGTTTTTACACACAAGGAAAGACTACTAGGCCTCTTGGTTCGCTCATATCTGTATAATCTTTCATTGCTAAGAAATTGCTCTTTATTACCTTTTTTTGATATTTTCTGTATGGTGCCCTAGCAATGGATTTTTGTACTACCAATGCACAAGATTACTACTTTAAGTATCAATTTTATTGCACAATATGTATTTTTTCTTTAATGCCTCTCCTGCCCCTGCTTAATAAAGTTCTACAACATTCCCCATTGTACTACCAATGCACAAGATTACTACAACATTCCCCGCATCTTTGATTTTGCATAGCCTATCCATGTAATTCAGTTCCAAATAAAGACAGTAGTTGAAAAACTACTGATGCCAGTGCTGAAAGATGCCAAACCAACCCATTTGGCAGTAGGTGGTTCTGCTGCAGACAGGTGAGAGTTTAGCTAACTAGATGCTTATAGTATCCAGGCAAGCTGGAGTCATTAACAGAGGCCTATGATCCCCTGGTGAGGGGAAACTAAAGTTTTTCTTTATCTCAAGAACCAACACTGCTGCAGGTGAGGCACGAGGGAGACTCCAACTTTTCAGTGTCTGAATTTGCAACAAGGCCAACAATTTAAACCTTTCTTGTTAGGCGAGAACAAAATGTTAATTTTGAGTTAGAAAAAAAAATCTAAAAGTATTATTGTTGTCTTCTTTCTTGTGAGGCATGTATCTGATATATTACTGTTTTTATACACATACTTCCGCAATTTTTAGGAAATAAGACTATATATGCTCTCTGTTTTATACATACAAGAAGATTTTTGACTAAAAATGTCTAAAAAGTACTATTATACCAATTAAAATCTAAACTATATTCACATCCCTTCTTGTATTTGCACATGAAAAGAAATTAGAGAAGTAACCAAATACTGAATGTATTGAGAGTACCAACATACATGCATACATGCTTGGTTGAGATGTATGCTGTATTTTTGTTTCATATTATTAATTAAAATGTAAGAAATGATTAATTTAACCAGTCTTCTGCTAGTGCAACTGACTAACAGCAAGGAAGAATGTGAACAAGTATGTTTTGAGTAATAGTTCATAGATTTGAAAGATATTCTTCTCCACTACTGAAAATCTAATAAAAACCGCACAGAATTAAACATTTTGGAGGACAATAATAAAAAATCATATAAAGCCATTTATAGAAAATGAAAAGTGTAAAATGTTCAACTGAAGACTTAAGTTATTCATAATACATATTACTGTCTAGAGTTGGGAGTAAGTATACGCATGTGTATACATACAAAGAAATTTATACACTGAGTGCATGAGTCTGTGTATCTACCACATACAATCAATAAATAATGTTTGAACATATTTAAAATAGCTATATTTGCATGGATTCTCTGTAGTAACAATATATGACTGCTTCCTTTTACATACAGAGCACAATTTCACCCTCTTGACTTTGAAAGTTTCTTCTGTTTTTATGGGAATTCCTCTTGATAAGGATTTCAAGATGACACCAGTCAGGACCGATTTAATCTATACTGGGTTTGTATGTAGCATCAGGGATTACAGTGAAACATATATTTCTGAACATTTTTAAGATACTTTTTACTTCCTAATGAACAACAGGGCCTGAACAACAGCAGGGCTAATGCCATCTCCTGCTTACTTCAGTAGAAACTGGATTAGCACATTAGTCTTGACATTTTTAAACACCATTTCCATGGGAAGACAAAAGCACAAAAGTTGGTAGAATTCCAATTTAATTTCTCTAGATCTATTAAAAAGTTGATTGTAAAAGCTGTACAACATAGTTTATAATGAAAAATACACCATTATTGCCATGATTTTCTTTCCCCAGTTACTTCATGAAGACAGTTAAAGCTCAATATAAATTCTAACTCATTAGCTCAATACTGTTTCAATCCCAGTGTAAATTGTTCGGAAGTAGGTAATGAAAATTCAGTCCAAACTCTCTGCAATCAAACAAAGCAATTTTATGAAACAGTGAAAAGAATCAATTATACAAGAGACTTTTATTATTTTACAAGTTGACACAACCTTTATACAATGTATGTAGCTCAGCTCAGTTGGTTAAAGCACGATTTGAATCTCATCACCTCTGATAGGTTTTCTTGCATTTTGAGAACTCACAGAATCACAGAAACACATGAACTTCCAAAACAAACATCACTGAAGGAAATGAATATTAGCTGGAAAAAGATTTTTTTTCCTTCTGATTTTCCTTACTGTAACTGCTTTTTGCCTCTGTGATATACACATTTTGTTTGTGCTGAATTTTTACCCTTTGAAACGTATAACTGAAGAAGAGAGGTAAGCACAAAAAGTCAGATCATCTCACTTAACTTTACCCAAAGGTAGGTGATGATGAATACCGACAGATTCAATAGGAAAAAAAAAAAAAAAGATAGTTCTCAAGGATCATTCACTCTATCTTAGGCTACATGTCCATAAAAAAATAAAGCCTTTTGAATAGCATTTAAAGCTTAATTAAAAAGCAATGCCCCAAAAATGTTTCTATACAATGTAAAATACTGGACCAGAATAAGTTCTATTTTAAGTTCTGTATTCATTAAGAAAAATTTACTTTGTCCTGGCAGTTCTTGCATCAGGGCACATACTGTTTGTCCAGGTTGCTCTAATTTCTTGCTGGATCTGTAACTGTCTGTCCTGCTATAGTTAATATGAAGCCAGAACAGGCCTCGTGCACTGAGTAGTTTAATGAAAACCTGATTATGTCTCGATTCAGATGGAGTCAGCACTGCGTGGTGATCAGGCAATGTCTGTGTCCAAATGAAATGAAGAGCGAATGGCCACAAGAGACAAATGCACTGACTGAGCTCCAGGCATGCCGTGCTCAGTAACTGCAGGAGAAGCTTGTACCAATGGTTTAGATTTAGATCACTTAAGCATGATGGATCTAGACCAAATGTCTTGCTTTTTTGCTAAAAACGTTCTCATTTTCACACCCCCCTGAAATTTCTTTTTTTTGGACATGTATTTTTGTTACTAAAAAAAATCATGTAAAGAAATGAATATTTAGTTTGTAAAATGTATTTCAAACTTTCTCTATGTGTAAAGATATACTATTCTTAATAAAGACACCATTTAAAAATATTTTTCCTACTTTCCCATCAAAATAAGTCAACACTTATATGCGTTATGTATAAGTACATATAATATATAAGACACATGAATAAATGAATGAATATTGGTTAGTATAATAACCAAGGAAGAATTCTGCCTTTGACAAGTCTGGTCAAATTACCCTGTAATGAGATATTTTCCTTATTTATTAGCTACAGCATCTATAGTACAGTTAATTTCATGTTACACACTGCTGTTTGATAGGAGGGTCAAGTCAATCCTATCGTAACCTTTCCTAACATGCTAACAGAATTTTGCACGGTCGGTCACAGATTGCCAATTACAGCACTTATTACAGTGCAGAGTCATGGCAGAAATTAGAGCTTTTCTAAATCAGGCCCCCTTTTCTTCTGCCTCCAAAATGACAGTGGTCACTGTTTTAGAAAGATATCAAAACCAACAATAAAACAGAGTAGAGAAGACAAGCTTCAAAGAGAGAAGTATCGAGGTTAGTGGTTAGTTGGTGACAGATTCTTTAATACTTGCAGTCTGGCATCGTCTGTCAAGATTTGTTTATAACGAAAATGATTCATGGGCAGAATCTAATCCATAACACTAGAAACCACTTTCAAACTACAGTCTGTTGCACTCCTGAACACTTTAAGTGGACAGGCATAGATACAAATAGTCTTGGCCATTTGCTGTGTTTTCCTTATGTTAGTTAAGCCTAACAATTTTCCTCTTAGAGGAAACAGTCATTTTCATTAATGTCAAAGTGAAATAAGTTTTATTCCTTAGACACTACGCACCGGCTGCACAACTAAGTGCGAGCTACTGGTTCTGTCACTTTTTACATTTGATTTTGATTTAAAGAATACAAGAGTTTCAAAGAGTATTAAAAATCTGTTGCCTCCTTCCTCTTCACTTGTTGCCCTGCTGGAGGCTTATGTTTTTCCAGTTTCCATCAGTGGTTGTCAAGTCTTTGTAATAGGATTAAAAGCTTGGACACCTGATATCCCTGGGTGCTGCAGTTCACCCTCATAAAAGCTGTTTGCTTTAAATTGAGAGAAAATCAGTTTTTAGTGGCATAATTAATTAAATTATGCAAAGTGTTCCAGATTCAGCATAACACTTTCTGAAGCAGCAATCGGAGGCACTATATTGCATTCAAACTGCATTTCAATTGATGCTGCACTAGGCTGACCATAGAGTATCATTCTCAAGGATTTCCAACACAAGGGATCCAATTTTGAAATGCAGATTCTTCATGCTAAGTGCCCAAGCCCTACACATAAGCATACAAATGGGCAATTTGGTAGCCAACTAGGTATTTCATGTGCTATAGTGCTAATAGGAACATTCAAAAATGTGAAATCAAAGTTCCGAATGTTAGTAAACGTGTTTAAAAACCGAGCTCAGAATGTCTCCCATTTATTCATCATGGACAATCGAACGGAGCAAAACAGCAATACATTTTCATAATTTGAAAGACTGCTATAGACTGACTGTAGCACTTCCCCCCTAACCAACATTTCAGCAGATATCTTCTATAACATGAGTTACTTTCTCCCATAACGAGTGCTTATACAACAAACCATTATTTATACACTGAAGTGGGTCTGTAAAAGCCTGATGTCTGGATTATTTGTATTCATTAGTAGCACAATTAGGTAGCTAAGGATGGTTATAATATAAGAAAATAATTCTGGACTGGAAGGTAATGTGGCCAAGAAAAGGAAAATGAAGCAGAAAACTACCC